AGAGATGTCCTGCAGGGGAGGAGGAGGGAGAGGGACCAGAGGGAGGCAAGGAGGAGCACAGGGGACTATGGTGATGGTGCACGGGGGCCTTGGGGAAGGAAATTCTATGGGGACTCAATCTGAGGAGGTGGGGGAAGCAAATATTGTTTAACAATAAAAAATAAAAAAATAAAAAAGACCGGGAAACCCTGAGGACATCAAGCAGCTGGAGCTTGCTCTGTGATCGCCAGGTCCCATGTCGCCTTTTCTCCAGAAGACCCCACCATCCGTTGATGAGATGATAAAGATCCAAAAGGCAAAAACATCTTAATAGTGTCAGGAAACAGTTTGGGCTCCACCCCCTGAAGGTGGTCAGCGACCCCCGGGGCCCGAGGCTCCTGGACGCTGCCCTCTGCCTGCACTGCTTCCCTCAGACGCCTCTTGATTTTCAGGCCTGGCAATTTATGAAGTCAGAATGTAGGTCCTGGGTCAACCCTCTCAAAGATGGACCGAAGGGCTTCAAGGACCAAGCAGAATCGCCGAGATGACCATCCTCCAACACCAAATTAAACATCAGTGTGAAAAATGCCACGGAAAACCTTAAAGGTCTAATCACGGCCCGCTCTTCCGACGGTCTACTTCATGACTGTTGTGCCCACAAGTGGCATTTTCATTGGCATTAAATTTTTTTGAGAGGGGGATTTAAAAGGAGCAGCTGGAGGACTACACAACAGATGTAGCAGTAATCAGACCTCATTTCGTCTTTATGAAAACTGGGGGACCGAGGGCATATTTAATCCAGGTATCACTAGGGTTTTGGGGATCCATCATGTCAGCTCTTTCTATTTTGCCAATGTTAGCGACAGAGGCCACGTCACGCTGTTCAGTCCAGCCTCTGCTCTTTCCTGGCCCTTCGTCCATCAAGGTCCCTGCTCTGCAGCTCCTCCCGGCAGCCCCTCCTGCTCCTCGGCCTTTCCTAATCACGCTCCTGTTAGGAGGGAGGACCTGGCGAGTGCTTGCCACAGTACTGTGCGCCCAGACTCCATTTCTGCACGATTTCCTCTCTCCCCACAAGCCCAGGAGGTGGCAAGGCTCGTTACCCCGTTTTCCCTGGGAGGACGTGACTCGCCTCAAGGTCGCACCTGAGGCCGAGGGAGGCCGCGGCGCTGTCCCTGCAGCTCTCTACCCCAGACGAGGGGGGCACCCTTCCAGGCCCCTTCAGAGCACAGCAGGCGACTGTATTTGGCAAGTGTCGAGAGCAAGGCGGTCTGGGGCTTCACAGAAAGCGATCACAAAGGGCCCTCGCCCACCGGCAGCTACCGGGGGCTGGAGCCTTTCATCTGCTCCCCTGAGGGCGACTTATCTCTCCTCCGATAGCGCTTTCCCTGGCATGGATTCAGAGCCTCTAAGGTTACGGGGTGAGGGGCCAGGCTGGCAAGCTGGAAGAGAGGCTCCGATCCGTTCTTTGGGAGTGTGTGGGGCTCGGCCTGGCGGTGGGAGGGTGGGGGTGGAGGGGACAACCTCCCCCCCCGCCCCCGACTCGGAGGGTCTCCAATGGAATTGGCGTCTCGCTGACTGGTGGATGAGTTGCCAAGGCCCAGTGGGTTCTCCCAAGATGACTCTGGGTCACTGACCATTTGGGGGCAGATTAGAATCTGACTGGAGGCTGAGCAAGTCCACCCCTGGCTGCTAATCCCCTGAGCTTTCCACTCCTTAATAGGGCAGGTTTCAGAAAAGAGCCGTCTCATCTGACAGCCTACCTGAGGATTATCTGAGCCGATTCGGCTTCATCCAGAAAGTGATTAGGCTCCTGTCCTGTGGGTGGAAACCCGAGGCGCGCGGAAATGTGGCCAGCTGCCCAGGCTCCTTGCAGGACCCGCGGTGAACGGGGCTTCCAGCGGCCCCAGCCAGCACCCGCGAAGGCAGGCCTGGGCGGGGCGTGAGTTGTGCTGCAGAGAGTTCAGTCCTGGCCTCCGACACGAAACCAGAGCCAGACGCTGGCGTGTCCGCTGGGCTGATATCGGCCCCTCACCCGTCGGTCACTGGAGCACAGCTAGGTGGCCCCGTGCTGGGCCGTGGCTGTGGGCGGGTGGCTGGGCCAGGGGCAGAAAGCGGCAGTCTGTTTCCAGGCGCCTTCCAGGTGTCCCTCCCAGGGTCACCCCCCGCTCTGGGGCTCCGCGCCTCCCTTCCGGATGCGGGCGCGCGTCTGTGCGCAGGCGACGCTGCTGTCCGTCTCACAGGTGAGGCCGCGCCTGCAGGCAAGCGGCTGCCCCACGACTTGTTGGGGCTCCCTGGGGTTTGGTTTCTCATCTAAGTGGGATTCCCCACTCTGACAACACCGACGGCCTCACGAGCCACTTGGGTCACGTCCGGGGCGCTGCGGGCGGGCGTCCACACACCCGCTCCCACCAGCGCCGGCTCCTGCTCACCGCCCCCATGTCCTGCTACCACCCCAGGACTCAGCAGGAGAAACGCTCTGGTCATCCGGCATTTGTTGGGAGGGAGGCGGGAGGAAACGCACACACAGTATCATTCTATAAAGAAAAACCAGACCCCACACTCCTCGCCTGTGGGAACTTCCTGAGGGCTCCAACCGTGAACAGCCATTGCCAGGTTTCTTTCAAACACCCCTTTACCAAGGCTTTCCACAGGCAGCAATTCGAGGTGTGGCCTGAACACGCGGTGTTTTGAGAAGGGGATTGGCAGGAGGGCCACAACGCTGACACTTGGGACGGAGGGCCGACTCCCTAATCTCGTGGCCACAAAGACTCAGCTCAGACGATCGTGGAAGCTGACTGCACCCACTGGCCTGGTCCCACGCCCACCCCCAGGCCCCGCCAACACTTACGGAAGACACAGCGCCTGCTGCTTGCTCCCCTGAAGGGCCATTTGGATCACAGAGATGCTTTATCGAAAGGAGGTGGGGAGAAAGGAACAATAAAATGCCCACAACCCTGCTGTGGCTCAGCATGCCCAGTCTGAGGCTCCTGTGGCACCTGAGTCACCCCATCACCACCACCCACCCTCCCTGCCCCCAACTCATCGCTCGCAAGTTTCCAAGAAAGAGCTGACTTGCTTCTCAGGTGCACCCCTGAAAGTAGCTTAACAGCACCCAGATTCAGGACCAGCCTAAGTCTGAGAAGAAATCTCAGCTTCCCTCCACTCTTCAAGGAGACCGAGCTAAGCAGGGCAGGCCCCACATGAGGCTCCGAAGAACCAGGTGCCAACACTGGCATCAGCGCGGCCACCGAGTGTCCGCTCAGCTCCTGAGCGTCTCTCTGATCTAGAAACAGCCACGAATCAGGAGTGAGCAGAGTGCAGAGGACGCTGGGAGGCGGCGGCATGTGGAGCACAGGTTTGGGGAACATGCTGTGAACAGGCAGGCAAGGGAAGGCTGAGCAGCGCATGAAGACCTTCGAGGAGAACGCTGCAACCCGTGGCAGTGCACGTGGTGGCTGATAAAGCGGCTTTTCCCATGACATTTGGCTCTCAGCGAAGCCGGTGCAGACGAAGTCCCTCCAAGGCCCCACCCACCCCTCTTTAAGCAAGGGTTGATGGGGCCTCCCTGGTGGTGCAAGGGGTTAAGACGCAACCTATGAAGATATCCGAGCCTCTGCAGCACGAGTTCAATTCCCAGGCAGCCAGGGAGCAACCTACATGGCGCAGCAGACCTCGCGCCGGCTGTTCCCCTCAGCAGTGTATTTCGTCAGTCTGCCTGTTCTGCTCCCTATTCTGTCTCTGGTGAATCCTCTTACCCCGGCACACACCTCTGGCCTGTACCCCAGTTCCTGTATGCAGAAATAAATCTTTTTTTTTTTTTTTTTTTAAAAAGAGGGTTGATGAAGTCTACGTACCTTCCGACTTTCACTGTGGGTAGAAGGGGTCTCCAGCAAGAGCAAATGCCTTCGAGGACTGGCATCCAGAGAAGGAAGAGGAGACTGCGTTGTGGCTGTGGGAACTAGTGATTGATGCTGAGCTTCGCTGGGCTGCTGGTCTTCCTAGGACAGTCTTAACAACCTTAAGGTTTGAGGGGTTTTTCCCTCTCCCTGCTTTTCCACCAGGCCCCTATTTATTGTGCGTCATTTAGCAGAGTGGGAGGTTTCTCATAACAGCATCAAAGCTGAACCTGTCACGCTGCCATCCTGTGGGTCAGTCCCTATGTTAAGATGCAGGACAGGTCAGTGGTGGCTCGTCTGTGGTTGCGGTGCCCCAGGTAGCAGTTGGGAAGGCTGCTCGGAAGGGAAGGACTTGCCAGGACTTTGTCTTAAATGCTTTCCAACGCTGCAGCTGCTAAAAACGCAATTCTAAAGACTAAGCCAAAACACACCCGAAAATATTTATGCTATAGGACATTAATTAAAAGAGAAAAATTCCAAATATATACACTAAACATGCAACCATGTTAAAAAAAAAAAAAAAAAAACACCAGCAGGTGGGAGGTAACAAGTGAAAACAAAACGGTGCTTGAGTCGTGGTGACTTTCAGGAGGAAATACCTTATTTGCTACAGAAGCTTTTTCAATTAAGCAAATGCTTTTAGGGGTTTGTTTTCCCTGGAATTAATCATCAGTTGGTAAGAGGATGTAGAGAAATGTTTCATATCCACAAAGTGACGCATTCATGAGTGTGGCTGTATCCCAAGGACAGGGCGCTGCTCAAGGCCGATGGCTTCCGTCGGAGGCTCTGCCGGCTGGCACACTCGCCCATCTCGTTCGACGCACTTGCTCGTCAGCCAACATGAGGAGGAACCACATCGTTCAAATCATCTGCTCAAGGCTGGGGACCCCGAAGGGCGAAAGCCACCTCTAAAACAAGGGGCTTCCCAAGAGGTGAGGCAGCTGCCAGGCCCACAGGACCACCTCCCGGGGCCCTGCACGGGCCTCACCCACAGAGACGTGCGAAGGTGGTCGCGCGCAGCATCCTGGCTGAAGAGCCTGGCCCTTTGGAATAAAAAACCTTTCAACAGATCAAAGTTTTCAACTAGCGAATGTACATGGAAGTTTCTAGCAAAGTGAGACACACGCATACCACAGCATCTTAATTTTTTTTTTTTTTTAAAGAAAACACAGTGGAGGTGAACAGAAACAAAGCAGCGAGAGCGAGGCCTGACAGCGGTTTATTTGACATAGTGCATGATTCCAAGCGCCGGACACCCACAGCCAGCAGCCCCCATCACAACACACTGGGCACTCTGGAGGGCTCGCTCCAGGGCACGCTCCTGCTCTCCTACATCCAGAATTAAACGGCTTCTCCATTTAGACACGTTTCACATTCACGGAAGGCTTTGGGAAGAGGGACCAGGACACAGGGCCACTGCCCCTTTGAACCAAAGGCACTTATGCTCAGGGATAAAGCACAGCAGATCAGCCACAGACACTCCTGCGTGTCCGGTCCTAAAGCTCAGGGCGCCGTCTGTGGCCACGTGGGATGCCGGTCGGCTACAAGACACTGATTTCCTTAAAAAAACAAAGTGCAGCAGGAATGTAAAGACTTTCCCGAAAATAACAGCTACGAGGACTCTTAGTTTACATGATTAGTATCACCCCAGGTTCACACATGGCAAAAAAATAGCTAAAAAATAATCTGTCATAAATTCTCACTATAAAATCACAATAGAATCTGTTAGACTCATAGCATTTGAGTGGGAGAGCACCCAGAGATGGTGCTGTGCACCCCCGGCCCAGACGGGGAGGTCACGGAGGTGCAGGAAGGTAGAGTGGGGGACCCTGGGGTCCAACCCTGGCAGCAGAATCTGCCTAGGGGTCCCCCACACCCTTCCCCTCTAAAGTAAAAGAGGGTGAAGGCCTCCAGAGGCCACAGGCGGCAAAGCGCGCATGCTGACTGGGTCAGCCATTTGGTCTCAGAAGGACTCCCGGCCCTGGCGGGCAGGAAGCCCGTCTCGGGTGGGAATGTCACACGAGGGTGTCCGGCCTGTGAGGGAGGCCACGTGGCCTGGACGCAGAAGGCTCCTCGGGGTCTAGCCCGCACTGGGCAGGCGGTCGGCCGCGCAGCGGAATCCCAGGTTGGACGCAGAGCTGTCGGGCGTGTTCTGGCTTCGAGCCGCGCAGCGGTACCTGTAGCAGTAGGACTGTGCAGAGACAGGGTGAGGCTCGCGACGGGCGGCAGGCAGTGCATGGTCAACACCCACGGTGCCCAGCACCCGCCTGGCACCCGCCCAGCAAGCTGTGCCTCCTTAGACACTGCTCGCTCCGACCCCTCCCCACTGCACACTCAGGTGCGTGCTTCGGAAGTACCGTGTTCAGCACACATTACCCCAAGTCTTCTCCGTGACAAACACAGCACAGAGAGGCGGGGTCGGCATCACTTGTACCAGGAAAATGCACCCACCAGTGGTGACATGAGGGACACTGCGTCCCTAGGAAGTGAGTAGGATCCCATGACAAACCACATCTGTATGCAACCGCTGACGAAGTAGGGAATTCTTTTGAACACTAACTATTGACATAGTCAGAACAGAAACCATGTGTGAGGTGGGACCCTGATCTCAGGGAGCAAGGACTCTGCCAGAGAAAAGACTGGACGGCTCAGAATGTAGCCAACGGCAGCTGCCCTTACGCAGGGGGTCACGCTCCACAACAAGCACATGCTGCTTTGCTAACCAGACTAGTCTCTGACATTAAACCCAGCCACAAAGCTCGATTAAGATCAACGATTAGATATTATTTAAGATCTAATGATGAGGAAAACTAGGTGTCAAGCCCAGAGACACGGAGGGGAGGGGGCTGGGAGCTGCCTGCCCGCAGTCACTCCAAAGAGAGCAAGTGGAGGCCAGGCCTGTGCGGCCAAGACCTCGGGCACCCACTCCTGCACGTCCAGCAGCGGCACGTGGGCTTAGGAAGTCGTGAGGCCACCACTAATTCCAGGGGCGGGTGTTCCGGTGGAAAGCCAGAATCCTCTGGAAAGACAGAGTTCGAGCAGAGCCCTGTGACCAGGGCAGGGAGTCGTCTCTGCCTCGAGCGTTCCCAGGAACGGCCGGGCTGAGCCCACACTAGTCCTCAGACTCTGGCCCCGCGGCCTAGACTCTGGCCATTAAGTCTGAGAACGTGCACTTGCGGGAAATGTGGACTGTTGCCGGGGCCCCGGGACCACAGTTTGAGAAGCACTGGGCTCCCGTGGAACTGGTATCCTATTTACAGGACTTGGGGAGGAGGGAAGGGCAGCGGGGGAGGAAAGGGGCCCGCGCGGGGCACGGCGTCACTCAGCAGCTGAGCACCTGCAGCGTGCTAGAAGCTACTCGAGGCAAGTCAGACGCCACGCAGAGCAGGACAGACCAGGCGCTGGTTATCAAGGAGCTGACACTCTGCAAGGCAGGCGAGTCGGACAACAAATGCGCCAATAAACGCCAGACCAGCCCTGGGAGTGGTCAGCCGGGAAGAGAGGCAAATCTGGAGAGGACCGGCCTGGAGAGTGGGCGGCCCCTCACCCAGCAGGGTCCGGGAAGGTGTCTAGCAGGAGGTGAGACATGAGCCGAGCTGCCCACGGGGTCGGGAGAGAGCCCCGAGCCGGCCTGAGCAGCGGGGAATGTGGGTGGCACGGGAGTCGCACCACAGGGAGTCGCACCACAGGCGGCCTTCTCAGCAGGAGCCTGGGCTTGACGGCCTTGGAGACGGCCACAGACACCGTGCAGATTTACGCTCCCCGCAGGGCAGAGTCCAAAATTCACCGGGGTGATTCCTTGTTCACAGGACTCAGAAAGGAGGAAAGATCTATGTTAAGTGGAGAAAATAAGGACATGAGGGGCATGGGAAGGGCCGGGCGAGGGAAGCGGCCTTTCCAAGTCTGTTTCTGCGTCGGTAAAAAGGGCTTTCAGGGAACACTGTCAAAAGCTTCATCTTATCTCTGCAGGACAAGCCAAGGCGCTAATCCCGTGGGGGGCGCAGCTGACTCCACGCTGGGCTGACGTCCAGCTACAGACGCACCCTGCCTCGTGGGGGAACTCGCTTCCTCACGAAGACAAAACCATTAGCGGCTTCTCCTAAGGTCTCAGACCCCGGGTGGGCTGTGAGAGACCAGCCACTCGCAGATCTGACCCTGGTCTTGCATTCGCCACATGAACGGGAACGTCACCCGCTGCACACGCGGGAAAGCTGCGGTGGCCCAGGTGGAGGGGCTGTGGGGCGGTCGCCTCTGTCACTTCTCTCTCAAATTACAGAACGCGCTATCTCCAAATGAGACGTTGTCACGCAGCGGGTAACAGCCCTAACACGCTGCACTGCCACAGTGCTGCGCTGAGAGGCTGCCAGAGGAGAGCGGAACACAGGGTGACACGCACGAGCCTCGCGCGGTCCCACGCGAAGACCTGGCAGGCACAGGAAAGGAGGTGTACTGCAAGGCCCCGGCAGGGCGCCACCAACGCTTTTCTCTGGGAAGAAGGATGATTTCTACTTTCACCTTTATGTTCCTTATTTGCTTTCTACCTTTGGTGCAGGGAAATGCTTTGTTGTATAATGAAAATGCTCATGATCGGTGCCGAGAAGAGCCGGTCCTCCACCGGGCCACAGGAGGCCCCGAAATCCTCCATGACCGAAAAGCTATGAAGGATTAGACCCTAAAAAGCAAGTCTCACCACAGTAACTGCTGAGACTCCCGACCCAAAATGTGAGGGTCCTTGCCCCTCCGTTTCAAATGTGCTCATTCACCCGGCAGACGCTTAGTAGCAAGTTCATTTCCAATTCCAGTAATGGGCGACTGATGGGACCCGCCATTGAAGAGGCAAATGGCCTGATTACAAGTGTCCCCCATTGCTCTTTTTTTCCCAAACTCTACTTTTAGCACCAAAAATGAGTGGCTTTGAGTGGCTGAAATATGGGTCATTTTATTAATTAAGAACAGAGGCAGTGGGAAGGACCTGTTTTAGCCCTATTTCATTAAAATAGATAATTACTGTGTGAAATTGATCTCACTATCTGTGCTAAGAACGTGATCCTGGACTTGGGAATAATCCATTTAAGAGAATGACCTACCAGCCTTGGGACTCTGAAGTCAGGCGGGACAGCTGTCTGGTTTTTATGAGAGGAAGACTTTTGGGGATAAAGAGAAATTTTAAGGCAACTGCAGCTCATTATGAACAAAATCATTATAGAAGATCACACACTAGAACCTGGTTCTCTCAACTTCCCTTCTGTGCTGGCACGATACTGCATCAACACCCTTTCCTAGCGATCTTGGTGTGAAGTGGCAGGTGGGTGAGGATTTCCTCAATGTTGTGGGTTGGGCTGAAAGGATTAATCTCATACCAGGATTAACCTAACAATGAGAATTAGTCTGACAACTATTAGTTGTTTACAAAACAACTGAGTATATGAATTAACCTAAGGACGTCACATGCACTAACTCAACCTTCCTCAATAGTCCTATGAGGTGGTTATCACTTGTCCCCACATTGCACATGTAAGGAGAAACCTGAGACAGAGGGACACTAATGGTGTGCCCGCGGCCACAGGGTTCGCCAGTGGTGGGTCCAGGATTGGTACCTGCTCAACTCCATTCCTGCTCTTAACCTAATGCCGGGCTACCCCACATCTTAAATTTCTGTGTCCTCATATCCTTAAAGAAGCTGTACTTTGGATGGACTTGCAGAAAGATTTGATAATCATGTGAGTTCACTGTAGTCATGAAAATTGGATCTGGTGCATGGTCAAAGTCACCTTCTAAGCAAGGCAAATAGAAAATATAAAATTGCATTATTCTTTTTATTGATTTTATTTTTTTTACTGGTTTTCACTTGTGCTGTATGATTTCCAGAATTCTGCCTATCTTTTTTTTTTAAATTTATTTATTTATGCATACAAGCACTGGGATATAGGCCAGAGGTATGGGGGTGAAAGGAGTCACCAGAGACAGAGTGGGGAACAGAACAGGCAGACTTACTAAAATATACTGCTGAGGGGAGCAGCAGGGAGACCAGAGAGGTCTGCCATGCCATGTGGGTAGCTCCCTGGCTGGGGATCGAACTCGTGCGCCTGTGGCTGTGGACAGCTTCAAAGGTTGCATCTTAACCCCTTGCGCCACCAGGGAGGCCCAATTCTGCCTATCTTGGTAGGAATTCATTAGTTGGATCCATACTCAAAGGGAAGAATGGGGCAAACAATCTGATTAAAATAAAGATATGTAATATAAACTCTAAATTAACCATTAAAAATTATTTTTAAAGTTATACCTTGTAAACCAAAGAGGAAAAAGTAGAGGAATTAAAAAAATATTTGACTCAAAAGACCAACAAAAGAGAAAAGGGATGCAAACAAATGAGACCAAAAAAAAAACCAAACATCAAGATGGTAAATTAAAACTCAACCATATCAATAATCACATTAAATGTAAATGGTCTAAACAGTCTGTGAAAAGACAGAGATTAATTCATAGATTGAGATGAAATGGACCAATTCCTCAAAGGACACAAATTGCCAGAATTTAATCAAGAAAAAACAGAACACCTATAGCTATTAACTATATATATTTAAGGTTATAACTCTAGGCACAAAGGTTTGTCTGGGGGAATTTTATCTAACATTTAAGGAAAAAATAACACTAATTCTACATGAACTCTTTCAGAAAAATCAGAATGAGGGAATATTTTCCAATTCAATCTATGAAGTAGGATTACAAAATCAGACAAAAACAGAGTAATACCCATCATGATTATAGGTGCAGAAACAAAAACTAATGTTTAACATTTTAGCAAATCAAATGCAAATTATATAAGAGGAATATACATCATAGCTAAGTAGGGTATATTCCAGGAATTTAAAGATGGTTTCACATTTGAAAATTAATCACTGAAATCTATCACATTAATATTGAAAAATAAAAACCATATAAATATCTCAACAGATACAAAAAAAAGCATCCAGCAAAATCCATATCCACTGCTGATACAAACTCTCAAAATAAAATAGAAAAAACTTTCTCAAGCTGATGTAGGGCACAGATGAAAACAAATTGCTAATATCACACCTAAATTTGAAAAATTGAATATTAATCCTTAAGATAAAAATGAGGTAAGAAAGTCTGTTCTACCAGTCCTATTCAATACCGTAGTAGAGATTCTAGCTAATGTAATGGAGAAGGGAAAAAATAATAAATATTATCAATGGATAAGCTGGGAAACTTGTGAAAATACAAATTAAGAACAATCAAAAAAAAAAGTAAAAGGAGCCCTAATCATATGCATGGCGTTAACATGGTCAGTATTTGTGCTTAAAATGTTTTTACAACTTTTATTTTCCCCATTTATTTTTAAGGAAAAAAATCTTCTGGTCTTCAATTCTTACAGAATAAGTAGATTCCCAGTTAATAAAAGTGTCACATGGTAGAGACATAAGAGCTGACAATTAGGGTTTGAGAAACGGTTGTATCTTAAGAAATTCAGTTGTGCTTCATGGAAGCCCAGTTCCATAATAAGAGCATTCAGAGACACTTGTAGTGACAGTTTAAATCAGAGAAACAAACTGACTGAGGACTGATGTATATTTACATGTCCTGAAAAGATCTGGGGCAATGCTTTAAATTTAAAATTAATGGCCTCTCTGGTGGTGCAAGGGGTTAAGTCTCAGCACGATGAAGCAATCCGCAGCCTCTGCAGCACGAAGTCGATCCCCAGCCAGAGAGAAACCCACAGGGCACAGCAGACCTCTCCTGATTCGACCGCTGCTCCCCTCAGCAGTGGATTTCAGTACATCCACCTGTTCTGCTCCCCACTCTGTCTCTGGTGAATCCTCTCAACCCCCACATCTCTAGACTCTACCCCAGTTCTTGTATGCATAAATAAATCTTTAAAAATAAAATAAATTAAATTAAAATTAGAATTTTAAAAATAAATTTATCCATATCTTGTTAGAAATTAAATGCAAAGCATAAAGTAAATTCAATGAACTCCCACCTGGATCAAAAAATGTGAGAAATGCAGGAGATATACCCACTGCAAACTCACATACATGCATACAGAGACCTCTCCTGGCCTGTGGATCCACTTTAAAAACCTGATGCAAAAGTCACAGGCTAGAAAAATCAAATTAGAAGAAAGCAAGTGGGGAGTCAGGCATCAATATTATCTTTCTTTTGGTATCAGTATTTTCTATAGATACCAGATGTTTCTAATATGCAATAAAGTTTGAGGACCACTACTTTAGGGCAAAATCTGATAATGCTTCCATTATCAAATTAGTAACTTAATTTAGAGTCATAACAGGTTGTTTTAAGTCTCCGACTGCCTGGATTGAGTGAATTACTATGGGAAGATTCTTGCAATAACAATCTGCAAAATGCCATCTTTGCAAAGGGATAGAAGACAGAACTTGAAGTGCTAAAACACTAAAAATATATGATTTGCGGGGAGAAGAGAAAGAGGTGGTATTTAATTTCCAAATTCCTAAAAGGTGACTCATGAACACCGAGTCTACCCAACTGGCCCCACCAGCCAGCAGTGACACTGACGTCACAGCCCGGAGGCAGAACCCCTCTCTGGGGCTGTTGCACACAGCACACACCCTGCTGCTCCACGTGGGGTGAGCCCCTCAGCACACCACAAACCACCCCCCCTTCGCAACCCCCACTTTCATCTTAGCAGGCAACCCCAGAACGGACTGGAGCCTCACACACAGAGGGTGTGCTTCAAATGAGCAGGCTGTGAGCTGCCTACAGCCCACCCTTGCACTCAGCACAACAAACGTCTGGAAATAGACAAGATTCCACGGACGGAAGCTGGCTGACGGCAGGTCCCTGCCAACCTCTGCTTCCTGTGCTGCTTTGCTCCACGCCTGTACCCAAATGTCAAGATACCCTCTTAGCTTCTTTCTGGTTGCAGTGGGGACAGGTATATTCTGGCCAAAGTGGACGGGACACATGGGGGCTGCTGTCCCCAATGCACAACAGGTCTGACGTTGCAGAACGACGCCAGTTCAGTGACTCAGCTTACCTTATGGCACATGTAGGATCCACCTTTCTTCACCCGGTCTTTCCCAGAAGGGGGTCCTTTCTGCAGAAGAAGAGAAGGAGCTCATCAGTCCTGACACGACAACTGCCCCACATGGCAAAACAGAGTCCCCGGTGGCTCCACCGTTTCTCTCACCCTGTGTGACCTCCCCACATGGCTGTGCACCATGCACCCCCAGGGCACACCTCTCCAAACCTGACCCATCCCTGGCATGCAGCTCAATTCCCACCAGGGCAGAACCTTCGCCAGCACGTGAGCCATCCCGCCTTACGCCCCTGCAACATTTCTTGCCTGGATGACTGACCAGCAGCTTGGAAGCAGCTCTGGCCCCCTTCTCGAGCGGAGCGCAGATTTACCCGCGCTGTAACTGGCTCGCTTGACTGGACAGCAAGCCCTTTGAAGTGTGTTTTTTACACACCCACTGTGCGACATGGAAGGGACCCGCTGGTGACTAAATGCAGGAATAAAAGAAGTTGCTTCTCATTTACTTTTTTAAATTTTTAAGTTAGGTTTATTGAGAAATGAAGACTTTCACCTTTTATATTTATTTTTCCTATTTGTGTATATTTTAAATGTTTAGCTCAGATTCACTGAGGTATAATTTACTCATAATAAACTTTTTAACCTTTTTGATCCTTTTTTTAAAGGAGGCTAATTGGCTTTATTAAACATTTATTCCAAGTAGAAAAGCACCCCGAGGGACTGGCACAGAGGTAGGTTTTTATAGGAGAAAGGAGGTGGGACCAGGTTAGCAGCCAAAGAAAAGAAAGACTGTTTCAGGCAAAATCACCTTCTTCGGGGAAGGGAAGAGGGGGGTGGCATCTTCTTTTTTAGTCCTTTCTGAGTACGCACTTCTGATGAGATCCTACAAATGCAGAGTCCTACAGCTGCCAGGAACAGCACTGAGTTTGTCTTTTAAAAAGAGATTTACATAGTCTGCAAGAACCAGGTAGGGCTCACCCTGTGGCTATTAAGCCAGGCAGCACTGTACTGAGTCATGCCCAGGCAGCCCGGCTCTGGAGCCCACTGTTGCTCCGGCAGGGGACCAGACATGGAGGGAACCCCGGAGGCGGAGGAAGGAACACTGGGGCCTCAAACAGCCAGTCATGGGGAAGACTGTGGCTTCCAAGAGGGCTCTGGATAGAAGTGCCACAGATCAAATGCGCCCCCTCCGGCTTCAGTTCCAGGATAGAGCCTCCACGGCAGCAAACCGGGCAGAACACTCCAGCACGCAACCTGCTTCCTTCTGGACACCGTCAGCTGCCTGCGTGGCCCTAAGTGCCATGTCACACCCATCCACTGTGGCTGATTGTAACCGGGAAGTGTGAGCATGAAAGCCAAGGGCAGCCGCACAGCTCTCCCCGGGGGACTCGCCACCTGACAGCCCACACTCTCGAATGATCATGATGCATGTTAGAGAGATGCAAGGCACTTCTGTGACAATGCCATCGCCACTGAAACATGACCCCGGATCAAGCCTTGATTCTGACTTTCTTCACACGCCGTGTCAGGGGCCCGGCGGTCAGAGTGGTGTCGACCACAGGCGCGAAGGAGGCTCCCTCCTCCTGGAAGAAGCCAGCGGCCAGCTCCTCGCGGACACACAGCACCTCCTTCTCATTCAGTTCTGCTTTGGTTGACCTCGCTGGAGACGTCCCTGTGACCCAGGACGCATGCTGTTCAGTTTCCAAGGATTTGGAGGACTTCCTGTTTTTTGTTACTGGTTTCTTGTTCGATTCCACTGTGACTGGAGAACAGGCTTTGGATGCGCTCAATTTTTAAAAATTCGTTGAGGTTTTCCTGACAGTGCAGGACATGGCCTACCTTGGTGGATGTTCCAGGACCCTTGAGGAGGAATCGTCTACGGTAGAATGCTCTAGAAATATCATTGTGACGGTGGCAGGGGACGGTATTGCCGAGTCCTTGCATACCCTTGCTGGCTCTGATTGTACCATATCAGGAGGCAAGAAAAAGGGGTTCAAGCCTCCGCCCACAGCTGGGAGTTGGTCTGCTTCTCCTCTCAGCTTTGCTAGCTCTTGCTTCCTAGGCCCCAGCTCTCCATCAAACACACACAGCAATGACACTACTCTGATATAAATAGAATACATAGAAGCTAAAATGATGGAAACCATCTCGGTATTTTACCAGTTCAGTTTAGCCTATAATATAAATGTATCAAATATTTCCTTGAAGCACACTTAGAAATACATCACACAATGATATAATTTCTGCTCCAACCATCAAACCAACTTTAGAAAGCTCCAGAGAGGGAGGCAAGTGATGTCGAGACCTTTCTGTGAGCAGGACCCTCCCGTGCTGCTTCTTGCCTCTGCCTTCAGGGCCCTTCTGCAGCCCTCGCCTTTCTCCTCGGTGAGCTTCCTTTAGCCGCTAGGGTCTGCTGACACATTCTCTTCATTTGCCTCCATTTGGAGATGTCTTTACGTCCTCTTATTCCCGACAGACACGGCACCGGTGGAGGATTCTGGACCTAACGGTTCTTTTCTTTCTACACTCAACAACCATCGCCCGTTGCTCTGGTCTGTCTCGGGGCCTTGGTGAGGAACCCGGTGGTCTGCACTCACTGGTTTTTTTCCCTCACAGAGCAGCTGTCCTTTTTCTCTGGCCGCTTTCAAGATTTTTCTTTGTTTCTCGTTTTCAAAAGTTCAACCATGGTTGAACTGGCCTTGCCGTGGGATCGCAGGCCAGGCTGGGCGTGCAGAAGCTGTCGCCAGCCTCAGGCTGAGCAGGAGGGGCCAGGCCAGACCCGCGCCCACAGAAGCAGCAGGACCTCACCATCAACAACTGAAGTGGGCCCTACTGGGCACCTTGTCTCCCCTCCCAGGCCAGGATACAGCACCTTGGTGAGTGGGAATCCCCCATTTTCAACGTGACCAGACGGCCGGCCTTTATTTAGTAACATTTCTGAGAAGACCTGGGAATCCTGTGGTTATTTTTAAGTGTTTTAAATATTCTTTCCACCTGCAGATTAAATACTGCTTAAGGGGCCTCCCCTGGTGGCGCAGCGTTGAACGCTGGGCTGCGAAGTTGCCCACAGCCTCTGCAGCCTCGGTTCGATCCCCGGCCGCCAGTGAGGGTCCCACATGGCGCGCAGATCTCTCCTGCCGCCCGCTGCTCCTCTCAGCAGTGTATTTCATCAGTCTGCCTGTTCTGCTCCCCGCTCTGGCTCTGGTGAATTCTCTCACCCTCCCGCGTTTCTGACTGTACCCAGTGCTTGTATGAATAAATAAATAAATCTTAAAAAAAATTAAAATGAATAAATAAAATAAATAAATACTGCTTAAGGCTGAACAATGACAGTCACAGCTTACAGAGGCCCTGGACACCAGGTGGAAGACAGAACGCGGACGGTCACGCTGTTCCCTCAAGTCCCCATGTCTCGAGTCTCAGGACTTCCCAGGATTCTCTGCCTCAGCCCCACCCTCCAGGCTGGCCAGCTCTACCTCCAAAGCAGATCTCTAACTGTGGTTCTTCATCTCCATGGTAACCACCCAGGTCCAAATCACCTGGATTACAATAGCCTGCAAACAGGTACGGAGGAGAAGCACAATAATACCTGCAGAAGAAGTTGGAGACCACGCGCTGTGAGAGAAGCCAGAGTAGAATAATCACACTGTATGATTCCAGTTATTTAAAAGTCTGGAAACCACAAACTAATCTGCTGTGACAGAAAGTGGATCAGTAACTGCTTAGGTGTGGGAGGGGGAGGGGGCAGGGAGGAGGGACTCCGAGGGGCACAAGAAACTTAGGGTCATGGATCTGCTTCCTGCCTTGGTGGTGGTGGTTTTCATGGGTGTGCATGTGTGCATGCGTGTGTGTGTGCATGTGTGTGCGTGTATTTGACCATTTCAGAGATGTGCGATTTATCATCTGCCAATTATACTACAATAAAGCTCTTTTATAAATGAAAATAAAACAAACAAAAAAAAACCTATGGTATTTTAAATGAAATATGAAGTGCTTCAAATAATCCAGGGAGGAGGGAGAGGGATGCATGAGCGGAACTACCGTGAAAAGGCTAGCTAGGGTAGACAACGACTAAGCTGGCCGCACGCCTCAGAACAACAGGGTGGGCCTGTGCGGTCCTGCCCGCGGTCAGATGTCAGCTCTACTTAAGTAAGGAAAAGAGACAGTTTGGGCCTCCTCCAGGTTTCGTTTATCACATTCTCTTAAAATCACTTCTTCTTGTTCCTAGTGACAGCTCATTAGCAAGTGAGGCGAGCAAAGCAATTAGCTGGTCCCAAATGGCATTTTCAGTTGACCGTGATTTTCAAGAACACTCGAAGGCATCCGCGATTTTATCTTGGACATTGTGAAAGTACAAGTGCTGCGTGCCCGGCGCCGTGGGCTCTGTGGCTCGGGCTGCAGCGCGACCACTCAGGGCGAGCAGAACAAAGCGGCCATGGTGCACGGAGAGAAGGGCACGTGGGCTACAGCCACGGCGGGGCTCACCCCTTCCCCCAGCCTCAAAAGCAAGTATCCCCAGAACTAGATTTCAGAGCGAGACACCTTGTCACAGCCGGCTGCTGCTTTCATCTACATTCCCTCTCACATGAAACACGGCAGTCGTGACTGAGCTACATCAAGTGCTTCCCGCGCTGCAGTCGCTGTCCTCAGGGGACCACAGTTGCTTCACAACCAGACCAGGAAGCCGGTGGGTTTCAGCGCCGTGGCCTGGGCCGTGCGATGAGCAGGTAGCTGGGCGAGGAAGATGGGCCCAACCCGAAAACGTGGCCTGTCGTGCCATGTCCTCCTCACACAGAACTAACCCTGTGTGTGCGTCACGTGATGCTCAGACACCCAGCATCGGTGAACCCCGTGATGCCAGGGGGTCGCACTGTGGGGGTGCCCAGAGTTTTGGAGAGATCAAAGCTGCACACTCACAGAGATGGCCGCGCACACACACCGTCCATTACACAAGTGCCCCAGGGACACAGGGGAAGCAAGTTCCTAGTCAACCTGGTAAAAGGAAAAAGGCGACCTCACTGTTCTGTGTCTCTCCTCAGTAACGTGGCTTGCTTTCCAAC